GCCGGAAGCACGCTCCTCTCAGCTGATGCCTCCCCACTCTGCTCACCCCTCCGCGGCAGGCCCCTTCCTCATCCCTGCCACCCACAGGAGCAGCCTGTTGCAGGAACGTCCCCCTACAGCTTCCACGCCCGCCCTGAGTCGGGCAAGGGGAAGACCCTTCGCAGGCCGAAAAACTCTGTAATGACCGGGTAATGTACTCTGATGAACCAAGATCACGTGTCCTGCCATCACCTGCATTAGTCACACAAGGAGAAATGGAATGGACAAAGTTTTCCTTTCTGACAACGGGAGTCTATGACTTGGGAATTGTATGGCGTCCTTGTGGGGCCACCGAGCAACATCTGTGCCTTTCTCAGTGACATGGAGGGAAATTGGACACGGTGGCGCTCACCTTTGGGAGCGGATTCAGAGTGGCGTGTCAGGGCTGTGTGGCAGTAAATAGCAGGTCTACACTAATTATTTCACTGAGCAAATGAGTAGTAATTTCCTCACAAACAGCTGCAGGATTCAAGGGTGGAAAAGGAAAATGAACACAGTGAGTGGAACTAAATAGAAGAGGATAAAAATGCATAATGCAAATGCCACGCCCCCTTGTTTAACTTGCAGGAGATATACCGGAAGCCACGGGGACTGAGGGCTCCTGGGTTCCTGGAGGGGCCTCACCGACGTGGTTCTGGGGTCCAGGGTAGGAAGGGAGACAAGCAAGTCCTAAAGGGGTGTGACTAGCTAAGAGGAGGGATCCAGGAAGCAGGCAAGTGGGCAGAGAGGGGTTGAAATGACAGCCTCAGAAGGTGAAAACACTGGTACTCGGTAGGGAGAATTTCTTAGAAATAAATTACCAACCTAAATATAATGAAAACAAGCACAATAGTACTTCTTAAACTAGCTCTTGCTTAAAACCCAGCATGAGAGCATGAAAACAGGGTTGAACTGGAATATGCTTTTGTTACATTATTGGAGGAAGGGCGTGTGAAGGAAAAGGGACCGTAAGACGGCAGGCAGGGAGAGCCACCAGGGAGAGGTGCAAACTCCGTCCAGTCACCCTCAGGCATGGAGAAGCCACCATTTGCATATAAACAGCAGACTAATTGCACACCATTTGTAACTAGCCACTGAAGGAGATTCAATAAAAGATCATCATTAGGTAATATCTAGCAGTCTTGGTTCCTGTTTCTCCCCTCACCAAAGAGCTATAAAGCTGAGTTCATTTGCATTATTTTATAACTTCGGCAATTTACTAAGTGAGAGAGGTTTCCCTCCCAGTTACTTTGAATTAATTTTCTCATCATTAAGAATCAAAGATTTGGAAAAGACTGCCAGCAAAGTGAAAGGCTATTATGGATGGGCTGTTACTCCATCTTTGTCTTTAACTTGCACAGCTTTCAAAATCTTAATAAACAGCCTAAGCCTACGTCTACAAGAAGTAGAAGAACAACAACAAACAAAGCTCAGAGTGAGCAGAAGGAAGGAAATAATCAAGATCAGAGCAGAATTAAATGACATAGAGACTGAAAAAACAATTCAAAGGATCAATAAATCCAGGAGCTAGTTCTTTGAAAATATAAACAAAATTGAGAAGCCTTTTTCACACTCATTGTGAAAAAAAGAGAAAGGACCCAAATAAGCAAAATCAGAAATAAAAGAGGAGAAGTTACAACAGATACCACAGAAATAGGAAGGATTGTAAGAAATTACTACAAACAACTATATGCCAAGAAATTGGACAGCCTGGGTGAAATGGACAAATTTCGAGAAACATGCAATCTTCCAAAACTGAATAGAGAAGAAGCAGAGAGCCTGAATAGATCGATAACAACTAGTGAAATTGAAGCAGTAATCAAAAAAAATCCCAGCACACAAAAGCCCTGGACTGGATGGCTTCCCAGGGAAATTTTACCAAACATTTAAAGAAGAACTAACTCCTACCCTGCTCAAACTATTCCAAAAAAATTCAAGAAGAGGGAAGACTCCCAAACTCTTTTTATGAGGCCAGTATTATCCTAATTCCAAAACCAGGTAAAGGCACAGCAAAGAGAGAAAACTACAGGCCAATATCGCTGATGAACATTCATGCTAAAATCCTCAACAAAATACTGGCAAACCGCATCCAGCAATACATTAAAAAGATCATACACCATGATCAAGTGGGATTCATCCCAGGGATGCAAGGATGGTACAGTATTTGCAAATCAATAAACATGATACATCACAGAAACAAAATGAAAGACAAAAATCATGTGATCATATCTATAATTGCAGAAAAAGCATTTGATAAAATACAGTACCCATTTATGATAAAAACACTCAGCAAAGTGGGACTAGAGGGAACATACCTCAAGATAATAAAGGTCATATACGAGAAACCAACATCATATTCAATGGGCAAAAACTAAAATCTTTCCCCCTAAGATCAGGAACAAGACAAGTGTGTCTGCTTTCATCACTTCTATTCAACAGAGTATTGGAAGTTCTAGCCACAGCGATCAGACCACAAAAAGAAATAAAAGGCATCCAAATTAGAAAGGAGGAAGTAAAACTGTCATTATTTGCAGATGACATGATAGTGTATATAGAAAACCCTATAGGCTCCACCAAAAAACTACTCAACCTGATATCTACTCAATATGCCTAATGCCTGTTATGCATATTGAAAGAGCAGATGAAGACAGAGTTGGATTAAGTGGTAAGGGGAGAGGCACACTCTATGATGCTACTGAACTCAGAGGAGGAATAAGTCAAGGGGGACTTCATGGAGGAAGCAATCCAAACAGAGACTTAAAGAGTGAGTAGAACTTAGAATAACACAGATGAAGATGGAAAGCAATTGCAGATGGAAGGACACTCCATAAGTTGTGAGAATTAAATGAGATACTTCACAGAGGTCATTTGGAAGGATCCCTGTCACCAAGAAAGCCCACAGCAAATGAGGTGTGTGGCTATTGTTGTTGCTATTAGTTCTGCTGCTTTTACTGCTGTTTCCATTTTTATTTTTATGATATTTTTACTGCTTTTGGCAAAGGCAGCAGGGATTAAAAGGACATGCTTGGAAGATAGTAAACACGCTTGGAAGGTAGCAAACAAACCCAGTTCTGACTTTCTTCTTGAGAAGCTTGTGGGATTAAAGCATCACAGTGAACAAGGTTTTTTATTTATTTATTTTTATTTTTTATTTTTATCAGAACTGTTTCTGTCTGAACAGTGCATCAGAACTGCTTACGCCCCAAGGGAGCTCTGGGAAAAAGTTGGTCTAAGACATTTAAGCTAGGTTTCCAGAAACACCACCTCTGACTACTGTGTAACTAAAAATTGCTCCTTTCAGTTGAGGCTTGCATCTCAGAAAATAAAATGGAAAATTGTCAGCTTTTGGCCTGCTCTCTTTCTGCCTCTCTCCTCAGCCAAGTGGCCCACTTGTTTGACTGCCAACGTACCAATAGGAATGAGATGAGTGAGATGAGGTGATTCCCGCTAGTGCTCAGAGACGCTGCTGCTAGGATGGAGTACAAACACTAGTAGAGAGCAGGGGAGGGATTTGTTTGTCCAAATATTCAAAATATCCCTCCAGGAGCTGTATTTTTGAAAAATGACAAACGGGGTTTCAGTAGGGAGTGAGTACCGCCTGTCTCAGAACCACCGCGTTACTGCTGATCGTCATTGCCTTTGCAATGACCAGTCTCTCTTCACCCTGTTTGCTGTCACCTTCCGTAAGCATCAAAGAGGCTGCGGAGGCAGAGTGTCTGAGAGCAGCCTGCTGCTTCTGGGAGCGCGCAGTCTGCTCTCCAAGGCAGAATCTCTGGGTCTGTGGGCAGATTTTAGAGACAGGCGTATTCAGTCAACAGGTTAATGACAACCAACTCTGATTTCAGTGCGCATTTTCTGTTGTGGCCCCCGACAGCTGGGCTGCGCCTGTGCATGCCTCAGGAGGGGGTTCCAAGGGACAGGGTCCTGTGCAGCCAGCCTAAGTGACTTATTTGGGCTATGCTTTGCTGCAGCGTGTCTTGGTCCTTGAGGAGCAGGGAGGCGGGCTCTGGGGACGGTCCCCTGCTGAAAGTTTTATTCTGAGTGTTCTCACGGAATCAAAGCTCCAGTAGAGAGGTGGATGTTACAGCAATTCTACTGCACCTTGGGTAAAAACCAAGTCATTTCCAGAACACCAAGAGGGTTGTTAAAAAAAAAAAACTGCTAGAATTCTTCTTGGAGTATTTTCCTTTTGGGTATAAAGGAGCAGCCTGAAACCTGAGAATTATTGCAATGACCGAGGCTGCCAATGGGCAGCGTGCGAAGCAACCTGAGGCCCCACGCATCCCGATGCAGGGAGCAGGGGGCTGTTGTTTTCCAGGTGCCCGGTTTGGCCCTGACCACTGTCTGGTTGCAGAAAAAGGAACAACAGCATTAGCTTCATGAGAAAGATTTCCTCCATGCAGCCCCCGCCTCCATTCAGGCTGAAAACTCACCGAACTCTGATTCCTTTATTTGTTCCAGGGCACTTGTTGCAAACAGCCACACCACCGGCTACAGCCCAAGAATCTATTCCTTATTGATGCCCAGTCCAAAGAATCAATAATCCCGGGACTATGTGTCTCCCGGCATTTCCTGTCCTGGGGGCGGGGGGTAAGATTATTGCCCCTCTCCTATTCCTAGCAAAACCTCACAACAATAACCCATACAAGACAGACATTTCAAGTACAACTATAGGATTAATAAACAAACTTTCACCTAAGGAAAAGAGAAAAAATTGTAAAAATCATCCATGCCTATTCACACAGTTCAGCAGCAGCAGGAAGAATACCTGTATCCACAGCAAACTACCATACAGGTCCTTCCCTGCTCTGCAGAACTTGTTGCTCTAGCTTATTGGTTTGGTTATTATTCATTCTTTTAAGTAAGGAAAATAACCTGGCACTATTTACAACACTGGCTATTTATACTTTAAAGGGGCCTCTTCCGTTGCCCCTGCCCCATTGTCGAAGGTCTGCGTTGGCAGTGGCTGGCGGGACGCTTACCTTGAAGGAGGAGTAGAAGGAGCCCCACTCCTCTTCTGCTACCACTTCCGTGAAAGTTGTGGGGCGGCAGGTGGCTGCAGGAGAACCCAGCGCCTGCCCGGTCCCGTTGGCCTCGGGGCTGCCCTCGGTGAGGTTGTCCGGCATGGCTTGGGTGGGGTTGAGCCTGGCTGTCCGCGCGTGCTGCCAAGAAGAGTCCGGCTCTTCCCGAGAGCCGGGCAGCAGCCGCACCGCCTCTGCCTCCCGAGGTTTCTGGCTGCTGCTCGGCTGCACAGAGGCACCGAGCCCCCCCGAACCCCCCTCACTGAAGAGCTCTGCCTGGTGGCAGCAGGATCCACGTGCTGCTCTCTCCTCAGCAGCTCTGATCCGGGTGCAGGCACAGCCTCAGACCCCGCAGTCCAGCCCAGAGCCCCGGCCTCACCCCGGGAGCAGGTCAGAGCCACCTGCCGCCATGCACGGGGCTCTCCGGACAGGCCTCCCTGCCCAGATGTGCTTTTCCTTCCCCAGTGGACCCCTCCCACACCTCTTTGCGCTACAGTTCCAGCAATATAGGAATTTGGGCTAATCAGCAGGTTGATTAATTCAGGTCAGGCTTGCACATCTGAAATCCAATCATAATCATGCGTTTGTTTCCGCTGAGGGTGCCTCCTGACTTGATAAAATCCTCACCCACCTATTTACTTAGTAGCCTGCACGTTATTTCAGCACACGTGGGCAAACAGCACATTTGTATTTCATACCCGGGATTCCGCCATAGGTTTGCACAGGGCGGCTCTCTGAAAAGTGTGGGGTCTGTTGGTTAATAAGCCACGACCCCTTGTCCTGATGGGGTTTGTGCCCTGGGGAGCACTCTGGGCAGCCGCGTGGTCCTTCATTTGATATCTAAAACCTCTCCGGGACGTAGGCGGGCAGGGCGTCTGTGCGGTCTCCTTTTACACCAGAGAAGTCTGGCTCCTGGAGGTGGCGTGACTCGTCCCAGAGCTGGTGATGGAAATGAGATGATACCCCACGTCTTCAGAAAGTCCTAGACCGTGGTGCTTTTCCTGGGATGTGCACCGAGTTGCACGAAATCCCAAATGCCTCTGTCGGCGTGAAGTCAACCTGAGTGGCAGGCGGGTGTTAAACAGTGGGCACGCAGCTGCCTGCATGGCCACCGAGCACGGCACTGGCCACTTACACTGAAAACGCTCTGTGAAGCCGAGTATGCACAGCCCCCGGTTAATGACACCTGGTCTAACAGGTAGCAGGTGTAGTGATGATCATAAAAGACTAGCTGTCATGAAGTTTCCCGGGGAAGCTTTAGCATAATCCATGAAGCCCAGGAAGCACCAGTGTGTGAGAGAGGAGAAGATAATGTCTATAATGAAGTGGCAGCAAACAGGAGGAAGCTGTCCAGGAAACCATGGGAGCTGTAGGCTCTTAGAGAAAGGGTCAAAACAGGACAACTCTACAGTAAAATGAGCAAAAAATATTCCCACTGGCAAATGACCATGAAAAGTGCTCCATAACATTTTTTTTAAGGATAAAGAAAAGCAAGTTAAAACAACAGGACAGAATTTCTACCTATCAGTGTAGTAAAACTAGGGTGTGGCCACCCCAAGCCTTGACAAGGATGGCAATAAATGGGTGCAGTTTTCCACTTCCGGTGTGAGAGTTAGGTCACGTGGTCACCCCGCAGAGCAGCTTGGCAGGGTTGGTAGAGATAAAATTACCTGTCTTGTGACGCATCATTCCATTTCCCAATGGTGGTAATTTCCCATCTCTTTGTCTGGGTTACTTATGTATGTTCAATTTAGGATAATGTAGTGCATTGCACTACACGCTCAACATGCAAGCGTTTGTTTCTTTTTTGTAGATATATTTTACTTCAGTACAAGTTTATAAAACAAAATCTGTGAGTAATTTCTGGGAGAGAGCAGGTGGTGGTTAGGTCATATTGTGGTGAGGTGGAGAGAGGGAAAATGGTAAAGCCATGGATGGGGAATAGGTGTAGAGAGAACTTTCTGGATGTGCTGTTTTCTCTCCATTCATGGTCCAGGTGGTCATTTCTTTACCTGTGGCCCAAGAGAAACATTTATGTATATATTTGTATAAGGAGACACACAGAAAGTTGCTTTTGCAACATTGTTCTAGAGACGAAACCGAAGCAACTAAAATATTTATGGTGACAATATCAACAAGATGCTCCCACCGGGAAATGGCCCACATACCCATCGAGAGTAGACTGAGTAATACATTTCCAAGGAGTCACACGATGAAATAGTGTGAGAAGGAATGGTCTGCAGCAAATAATATTCACAGTGGAGTACTACACAGCACTTAAAAGGGTCGTAGGCAAAATGACAAACTTTAACATGGTGCGGCGGTCAATTTTATGTGTCAACTTGACTGGACAGCACATTGTGCAGACACTTTCTCAAGCATTATTCTTGTGTGTCCATGAGGATGATTTTATTATTATCATTATTATTATTATTGTTTAGGCTGTTTATAGTTGTCCCAATTTTTTCCCCCTTTACTCCCTCTACCCAACCTGCCCCCACCTCCATAGTTAATCTATACACTGTTGTCCATTTCTGTGGGACCTTCGCTTTTGTTCTCTGACTAATCCCTTCACCCTCCTTCAAACAGTCCCTGCATGAGGCCATTTTCGGATGAGATTATCTTTTGAATCAGTAGACTGAGTAAAGCAGATTGGCCTGCCTATTGTGGGTGATGTTCATCCAATCATTGAAGCTCTGAATAGAAGACAAAAGCTGATCCTCCTGCAAAGAGGAGGCCACTCATCCTGCTGACTACTTTGAGCTGGGACTTTGATCTCTTAGCTCTTTGCGGGGGCTCTCAAGCCTGACAGCGTTTGGACTGGAACGACACAAGAGTTTCCTTGGTTTTCCAGCTTGCTGACTAAGGATCTTGGGACTTATCTGCCTCTATAGTTACGTGAGCCAATTTCTAGTACCTATCTATCCATCCACCCATCGATCCATCCATCCTAGTGGTTCTGTTTCTCTGGAAAACCCCAACCAATACACAGGGCATCAAGTTCCCTACCTGAATTCATCCCTAGAGATTCCACAAAAATGAACGAGGTATTGACGGATCCCAGGAGGAAGGACGGCCATACACTACTGCAGTGATGGTAATTGGTACAAATACTTTGGAAGACTTCTTGGCAGTATTACCTAAAGCTGAACATATGCATATTCTGTGACCCAGCAGTTTCTCTGCTCAGAATATTTGCATATATGTAAAGACAAGCCGAGCACTTCTGTTTGTAATCGCCCCCCTCGTTGGTAACTACCTACGTGCTCATTAACAGTGAAATGGATAAAGAAATTGTGATACAGTCATATGATGCAAAACATACACTGCTGAGAATGCATGATCTACCATTACAGGTAACAACATGCAGAAATCTGGTAAGTCATACATTTTGAATCACAGAAGGGTTAGACACCCAAGAATGTGCGGTGATTGATTTCACTCATGTAAAATAAAAGCTTAAAAACGCTTAGGTCAGTAATGACTGTGATGGGCTTGACTTTTACTATAATTCGTTCAGATTTTGCTTTTCTTCTCCTGCTTTGCACTTGCTATATTTGGTCAGTTCAAGGTCTCACATCTCTACATTTCTGATGAAACTGTGTGACATGTTGACAAAGTCTGCATGTTGCATGTTCCCCGCTCACCGAGACAGGGGTTCCCCCTCCTGTCTGCACACTGGAAAAACCTGCGGTGCTCTGAAAGAACACTGATGCCTGGGGCTCACCGCCCAAAGTTCTCATTAGATTATTCTGGAAGCAGCCTGGAGCCGCGGATTTTTGAAGCTCCCCAGGTGATTCCAATGCGAGCTCAGGGACGAGAAACCCTGTCCTAGGAGTGCAGCCTTCTCCAGGCCCCCACGCCCAGCCTGCAGTCTCCATGCTGGGGCCGCCGTCCTGTCCTGTCCTCCTTGTCCGGTTTGCCAGCCCGGCACACCTGGAGCTGCTCCTGGCACACCTGCGACCCAGCGCCAGCCCCGCGTCATTGCTGCGCTCTCCTTTCTCAAGACCCAGTTTGAGCCACTGGGCACCCGTAGTCTCAAGCCACGCAGAGTGGGAGGGAACGTCTTCATTTCTTTATGTTGGGGCCACCAGCCTTTCCTTTTCCTTCTCAGGAACAGGAAGTCATAGTTAACGTCCATTTTGGAGACGTCCAGACCTGCAATTGCACCCACCACCTGTCCGGGACTGTTGCTCTCCTTAAAAACTATCCAACTACAGCCTGAAAGGAGAACTTCAGGTAAGGAAGGGAGCCTGGATTACTAAAGTCCAGCCCCGCCGGCTTGATTTTCTTTGCTCTTGGGGGTTCAGGAATTCATCCTGCTTTCCTGACCTCAGGGAATTCAATGGTAGGATGATTGCTTGTCCATTAATGTTCATGTCTTCCCCTTCTTCTTATAGTTATGACTATTTTTTGAACATGTGCAGATTGTTCTGGGCTCTTCATTTAGTCTCCAAATTTCCAAAGGGCAGGAGCTACCCCTTTCTTCTTTGTATCCTCCGACCACGTTGAACTTGATACCTCAGCCCTGGGAATCTGGAGACCTTGAACTGTGTCTTTCTGTCTTGGAAGGAAGCTCACTGCAATTAACCATAGTTCCCCAGCTGACTCGGATCAGACTCAGGGTTCCCCCCTGGGGGTCGCCGGTGCCCATGACAAGGCCATACCCAGACCCTCCGACTCCCTTTCTATGCCTCATGATTGTTTAGCGAAACTGTTTAGTCCCCACTGGTTGGTAGGAACAGAATGCCGGGTAAACACACTTAGGTTAAGATTCTGCCCTTCCCCTCAGCCTGAGCCAGTTTACAGCCCTTCACTGGAGGAGGCTGGCTGCTCGGAAATCACCCCCCACCCCCAGTCCCAGGCTTGACGCTCCCCTCCGCACCTGCTCCTGTCCAGCCTCACGACCCCCGTTTTGCCTGACCCTTGACATGTCTGCAGAGACCCCGGCGGAACATTCTCCCTGTGGCCCGGGTGCCTCTCCTCTTGCAACAGTCCTTTCAAACGAACAGTCTCGTCCTGCCGGAGTCCCGAGTTGTTTGCCAACACCTCTAACCTGCTCAAAGACTCGAGTGATACAGATGTGAACAATGGCATCGGTCATC